TGAATATTCCTAACAGCATCATAGATCCTGTCAGGATTCCCAAAGCGGCATACAGCAAAGACACATCTTCCTCCAACGTAAGGACTGAAACCAAAATATCTCGATTTTAGAGTTTACACAAACAGCAATTTACGCTAAAAAATGTTAATGACCAAAATTTGTTTGTTTACTTCTACCACTTTAGCCTGTGTGCTAGTTGACTTGTGTCGTAAAGTTGCAGGTCTGTATCAAAGGAACGCACATCTAATGCGAGTTTAAGTCTCATCACAAAACCGATCACGAGAAGAGCAGAATCACAAATAAATAAAATAAGGAGAAATTTGGATGGTTTTTTTACTCAAGAAGTTAACTGTACAAAATATCGAAGTATGACCGCAGGCAATTTTATGTAATATATTATAATTAATAATTCTCGAATGAAGTGACCTTTTTGGTTATACTTATTTTTGAAACAGCGCAGATCTACTACTTCTTATTAACATAGCTGTAACTGGATCAATGCATTATGGTCTCTCGATACGTCACACCCACAAGCATTATGAAAACATACAAATTTCAACCAAAACGAACGGTTGGGTGGCGAGATTTCAATTGAGACAGAGACTTCATCGCCCTCACAAGCCAAATAACAACTGGCCTTTGGCATGATACAGCACGTACCTGGCTGCGGGCTGAAAATCTTCTCCCTTAAAGATATTTGCCTGTCTGGGTTTACAATGCTGCCATCGGAGAGAAATATCCATTCACTGGGCCCAGCTGATAACCGAGAGATGGTTTTTCCCTGCGCACCAAGAACATATACACTTAGAGATGCTTAATTAGGAAAAAATAATATTCCATTCAGTTATGATAATTGTATTTTAATTAAGTAATTTTAAATTTGTAATTACTAAAAACAAGCACTACCTCCGTTATTTGAGTTCCTTCTAATCAAAGAATGTATAGTAAGCAATAATAAAACAAGCACGTACCAGGGTCATAACAGCAAAGCAAATTGCCTGAAATCTGTAGAAATTTACTTCTGCTAAATGCGACCTCATCTGAAAAAAAGATACAATGTCTTATTTTTTGTTGCAATGACAGTTTCTCAAAGTCAAGACATGCGGTAAATGAGTTTACAGCGCATACATTTACAAATACTTTTGTATGGAGTCGATTACATAATTATAATATAGATATATCCACAACTAGACGCACCAATATAATCTAATATTTTG